CTTTTAGTTATTAAACCATTAAAGATTAATATTGATAATAAATAATTATTCTATCTAGTTTATTTAACCAGATGGATTTTTTTATATATAATCTTTAATACAATGATTTTTGTTCCTAACGAAATTTTATTAAAGATATTTTCTTTTTGCCTACCTCAAAAAATTTTTATAAACGAAATAAGTTATTATCGATTAAAATATGTTTGTTGTTTATGGCTAAATATTTGTTTAATGCTTCATGAAACACGTGGAATAAAATATTGTTTAGCATGCAAAGATTTTTCTACTCATGAACATCCAACTAAAATACCTTTCTATACAAGATATGAAAATGATATAATTTATTTATGTTTTAACAATGATGAATTTAAATTAAGTACATTTACAAGTTCTCGATTTCATTTAATAGAAGAATCAGAAATTTCATTTTTTGCAAAAACTATATGTGAACGTTGTAGATATCTGTCTTATTGTGCTAAAAATGAATATATACTTATCCAAAATTTTGATTGTCAAACTTTTTCTTGTCCTGTACGTGAAGAAGTTGACAATAGGGTATATTATGTTTATGATAAAAAATATATTTCACATAAGCATACTGTTTGTTTATCATGTGATAAATTTTTTTTCGATAATGTTAAAAATAATTATGTTAAAGATAGAAATATGTTTCCACTATTATCATTAAATTCATTATTAAATCAATTAAATTTAGATAAAAAATAGATATTTTATTTCTATCTAGTCTAAAAGACCAGATAGATTTTTTTATATGTAAAGATGGATGAAATTATTAATGAATTATATGATTTGATCTATAAAGAATCAACAACCAAAACATTAAAAGATTATTTAAAAAAAAATAATTATAATTTTCAAAAAGTTATCGATTATTGTTTAAATAATCAAGAAAATCCTAAAGCTTTAATCGTGCTTGCAAAATTTGAAAAAATTAAGATCAAAAGATTTGATTATTATAATAAAGCTGCTTATTTAAATAATGTTGAAGGAATATTTCTAACAGGATATTGTTATAGATTTGGGGTAGAAGTTGATAAAGATATTCGTCAAGCAGTAATTTATTTTACATTATCTGCTAGTTTAGAACATTCAAAAGCCACTTATTTAACTGCTTTATCTTATTATTATGGTGAAGGTATTATTGAAGATAAAGAAATAGCTTTTTATTATTTAAAAAAATCAGCTGAACTAGGATATGCTAAAGGATTTTATAGACTTGGAGAATTTTATGCTTTTGGAAATGAACTTATTGAAAAAAATGAAGTTCAAGCATTTGAATATTATCAAAAATCTGCAAATTTAGAATATTTGAGAGGAACAAATAAAGTAGCATATTGTTATAAAATAGGAAGAGGTGTTAAACAAGATAAGGAAAAGGCTTATATGTTATTTAAAAAAATTTCTGAACATCAAGTAAAAGAAAAATATTATTTATTTTAATTAGTACATTGTACCAATTAGATTTTTTTATACGTAATTTAAAATGTATTTATCAAAAAAGAAATTAAAACTTTTGGAATCCAAATTTCTTTTGAAATATTTATATGAAACCTTTCTTTCATTATATGGTCTTAACATGACCAGATTAAGAAAAAAAGAATTGAATGAATGGTTAAATCGAACTGAAACAAAAAAAGAAGAACAATATTTCAAGATAAACTTTTTACATACATTTAATTATTTGGACCATTTGAAACTATATAAAAATAATTATATAAAGAAAAATAATGATAAATATCCAATATTTATCTTAATTGGAGATATTGAACAGATATTTGATTCAATTGATAAAATATTTGGTCATAATTTTATTACAATTAAAGAACAATCTGATTTTAAATTGATTAATAAATATGATTCTTCTACATTAGTTATTAAAGAATTTGTTCGAAAAACTTGGGATCTTGATTTTTATCAGACTTTTAATAATTTTTATCGAAAGATTATTTTTTTTATTACAAAATATC